TGCTCGCTCCAGCCTGGCAGTGACGTCACTGTCGCCGCGCCCCTCCCCCAGGCCACCCGTTCATCATGACGGTGGGTGCGGTGGCGGGCGACGAGGAGACCTACGAGGTGTTCAAGGAACTCTTCGACCCCATCATTGAGGACCGGCACGGCGGCTACCAGCCCAGCGATGAGCACAAGACGGACCTCAACCCAGACAACCTGCAGGTGCGGGGCGGCCCGGTCAGGACGTGATGGGGAGAGGGGTCTCGGCGCTCACTCCCGCCATCATTTTGCGTCCTCAGGGCGGCGATGATCTGGACCCCAACTACGTGCTGAGCTCCCGGGTGCGCACCGGCCGCAGCATTCGCGGCTTCTGTCTCCCCCCGCACTGCAGCCGCGGGGAGCGCCGCGCCATCGAGAAGCTGGCAGTAGAAGGTAGGGGTCCGGTCTCAGCGGGCAGATCAGCTGCGCTCTTATCTGCGCGCGCGTTTCCCCAGGAGCTGAGGGGGGTCAAAAGTCCAGCCTCGCGCGCGCGCGGGGACACACTGCCTGGGGCGGGGCGGCGGGCTTGCTCGCCCACCCGGGCCTTGAACTCTGCACTCCGCAGCCCTGTCCAGCCTGGATGGAGACCTGTCAGGCAGGTATTACGCGCTCAAGAGCATGACCGAAGCGGAGCAACAGCAGCTCATCGACGACCACTTCCTCTTCGACAAGCCCGTGTCGCCTCTGCTGCTGGCCTCCGGCATGGCCCGCGACTGGCCGGATGCTCGCGGCATATGGTACGAGCCCTCCCTCCTCTCGGTCCCCGGAGGGTGGGGCCCGGCCTGAGCTCCTGGTACCACGCAGTGTCACCCTGTCCCAGCGCTCTGCGCAGGTGACCTTGGTCCCGCAGGTGTGTGAGATCCCTGCGCTGCGGGAGGCCGCAGTCTCCAGGGATTCCATGGCGGTGACCCGTCTCTCGGGAGCCCGGCGCTTGTTTTCTCTCCTCCTCACCCCCATACCCCGCCGGGATTCTGCCAGGTGCCAGTGACGCAAAAGCCTCCGCACCCGTCCGGGCAGGGCTCCTACCCCTGCGGACTGTGAGGGCGGAGGCGTGCTAACTCGGGTGGGCTGCTCCGCCTGCTTCAGCCCTTTGCCTGCCACACACCACGTGATTGGTGATTGGGGTGTGTGTGTGTGAGGTGCCTTGGTCGCCCTGCCTTCCTCCAGTGTTTCTGGGATGGGAGTCTTGGTGACAGCCCACACTCCTGCACCTCTGTGACTTGGGAAGCTTTTAGTTTGAGGTCACCCACCTATGGTGTCTTTGGATGTGACCTAAGAACGTATTCTGGGAGGGGCTTTGGCTTGACTATACCCCTCCCCCAGGCACAATGACAATAAGACTTTCCTGGTGTGGATCAACGAGGAGGACCACCTGCGGGTCATCTCCATGCAGAAGGGGGGCAACATGAAGGAAGTGTTCACCCGATTCTGCACTGGCCTCACCCAGGTCAGGCCTGGTGCTCACACCCAGGGCCTGCTCACTCTAGGGGCTCGGGGTCTGGGAGGGGTCGGGGCAGATCCTAGAGTCCACAACTCCCGGGGTCGCTTCCAGCCAGGCTTCCCCTCTGAACTCTCCCTTCTTTCTCTGCCTCCAGATTGAAACTCTCTTCAAGTCTAAGAACTATGAGTTCATGTGGAACCCTCACCTGGGCTACATCCTCACGTGCCCATCCAACCTGGGCACTGGACTGCGGGCAGGTGTGCACATCAAGCTGCCCCACCTGGGCAAGCATGAGAAGTTCCCGGAGGTGCTCAAGCGGCTGCGACTTCAGAAGCGAGGCACAGGTGAGGGGCAGCGGCACAGGTGAGGGGCAGGCGGCACAGGTGAGGGGCAGCGGCACAGGTGTCCTCAGTCCCGCTGATCGGCCTGGTTTCCGTCCCCAGGCGGTGTGGACACGGCTGCTGTGGGTGGCGTTTTCGACGTCTCCAACTCCGATCGCCTGGGCTTCTCGGAGGTGGAGCTGGTGCAGATGGTGGTAGATGGAGTGAAGTTACTCATCGAGATGGAACAGCGGCTTGAGCAGGGTCAGGCTATCGACGACCTTATGCCTGCCCAGAAGTGAAGCCTGGCCCTCACCACCACCAGCCTGCTGCTTCCTAACCTAATACCCGGGCAGTGCCCGCCATGCATCCCTGATGTTTGCCGCCTGGCGGCTGAGCCCTTAGCCTCGCTGTAGAGACTTATGTTGCCCTGGGTAGAGTTTATTTTTTTGATGGCTAAGCTGTTGCTGACACTGAAATAAACTAGGGTTTGGCCTGCCCTATGTCTCATGAGTTGTGCCTCTCCTTTCCTGGGGACAGTGACATGGGTCTGTGGCTGGCCATTTCTGTCAACTAGAAGATGGCATATTGGCCACAGAAGATACAGGGTGGAGAGGGAGGGAGGGAGGTGCTCTTAAGGCTCTCAGTTCCAGCCTGAGCATCTAAGGACACTCCGCTTGCAGGGTGGAGCCTAGTATTTCCTCAGCTCCAGCCAGAGGAGCAAGTCAGAAACTTGACACTCTCCCAGTTCCTTTCTGCTGTCTTCCTGTCAGCCTGAAGATCCAGAGTTCCACCCCTTGCTTCCTCTCCCCTCCCAGGCCCACCCCTCTCCAACACCTCCTCCAGCTCCTAAATAGTCCTTTCTTGCCCTACCTCCTCCAGCTTCCATCCTCTTGGGCCGAGCTGCCTCCTTGGTCCCTGGGCCCAGCCCTCTAGCCCCATCCAGACTGCAGCAGGGTCCTTCCAGTCCAGTCTTCATCTGCAGCCTGCTCTCCAGGGCCCTGGTGGTTGGGAGGAGACAATCCTCTGCTCACACTAGCTTTTGTGCCACATCATCTAGGAGATAGACGGTAGTGTGACTCTGCTGTGACCTGAATAAGTGTGACCTGGGGAAGGAATTCCAAGGCTCACATCAGGGACCCTGGGCAAAAGACTGAGCTGTCTAAAGAGCCATCTTCCTGGTGGCTTATCCTGGTTGGGCCTCGTGAAAGGATCTGGCCCACATTTGAAAGCTGAGAACATCAACCCAGGGGCTGGAACTATAGTTCCCCACCCCACAGAGCCTTTTTCAAGATAACAGTCTTGCGCTGCCACCTGCTGGTCACAGTCACCACATACTTGCCCACTAAAGATCGTGGGCATTGGAACATGGTCCACTAAGACTCTGGGCCAAGCACCAGTAGGTTTGGGGGCAGCCTTGAGCTGTGAGCTGTAGAGGAGTGTCCTGGCTGCGTCTGTGGCCGGCCTCCAGCTATGATCTCATCTAGGCGGTGGTGTGTAGACTGGGGAGGACCCTAGTGCAGGGCTTGACCTCTGTGGAAGACTTAAGTGTCAGAATTAGAAGGGCATCTACCTCGTTGGGTAGGCTGGGCGCAGGATAGGGCAGGTCCCCTGAGAGTGCAGAGGGTCCAGGATCTGTGCATGCCTCCTTGATGTCCAGGGATGGCGGCACTCCTCTCCTTGGATGTCCTAATTAGTTCCTAGCTGGCACTTTTGTCAGGAAGGGATGGGAGCTGGCACCAGCTACACTGTAGACTTCAGTCTGGTGACAAACAGCAATCCTTCGACCATCTCAATGAACAAAGGAAGTGAGTCCCTCTGACAGGCAGTGAGACAGGGACAGTAGGCACAGGGGGGCATGTATGGCCACAACTCTCCAAGTCTGCTGTTATACCTCAAAAAACAGGAGGCATGAACTCAGTACCCTTGTAATGAAGTCTATCTTCTTATAACTACCTCAGGCCTATCAAGTTCCCATGTAGAACACTGCCCCTTGAACCCAGAAGGTTCTCCTGGTTCAGGTCCCTTACCACCAGCAGGGGCAGGGCCGGTTAACCTGACTGGCTGGGATGAGACAAACCCTGTCCCACTGAGCATCCCTCTCCCCACCCAAACCCTAAGGATCCCGAGAGCTGCAGCCGGAAACCCCCGCTCTCCATGCAAGCCTCACCACACATTCCTGAAGGCCCCAGTGGGCAGAGCTCAGCCTGGAAAGATCTTTTTTTCCAGGCAGCGACTCTCATGAGCATCTTGGACCAGCCACTAAGGCACCAGCACTGGCTGGCTTTCTCTATCTCACCAACTGGGCAAAGCCTGTGAGGGACTGGAGAAGGTAACCTGGATACCTTGCCCCAAGTCCCTTTGGGGCTTCTACTTCCAGGGCTGAGCTGTATCCTGGCCTCTGTGTAGGCTCAGAACCTCAGGATTCTCCTGGGCTCCGGGGTTCCCCACCCCCGACTCTCCCAGCCGGCAGGAAAATTGGGGTGCGTGTGTTCCCTGTGCTGTGTTGCATGTATGTCCCACTGTAAGCTGCACTGGAGCTGGGACTGAAACAGGGCTTGTACACATGCGCTCTGACGGCTGCAGACGCCTGCGCTCGCCAATTTACACGACTCCTTGCCCAGTCCAGATAGCCTTCCTCTGGATCAGAGATTCAAATGAATCACTGAGCTTGGCTTTGCCCTGCTGGGACAGAACCTGGGGGTGGACACAGGGAGAAAGATGCTGTGCTCCTAGGCAGCAGGGGTGGAGGCACAGCTCCCTGGGGGACCCTGGTCCCACTAAGCATCCTGCACACGTGGAAACGCCCTGATTTCTTGCCAGGAACAGCCAGAGAAGGATTTCAAGTTGGAGCCCCCAACACTGCTTGGGGTGGTCCTTTGATAGGATGAGGGTTCTGTCCACAGAGACAGCTTTAAGCAGTATTCCTGACCTCCAACTCCCCATGCTGATAGAACCCCCACCCCCCACCCCCGTCTCCATCTTGGTGCTGGTAGAATTTCTAGACACTGACCCAAGGAAGACCATGATCCTACAGAAATAACCAGGAGACACAAACTGCTTAGAGCAGGAAAGAACTGGTCAGGGCTGATTACCTGTTAGAAAGCTCAGCCAGTCCCACCCCTCCTACTTTGTGCAGGCAAATTTCACCCTCAGTGCTGTATAGACAGGCTGAGGAAGCAGAGAAGCAAGCACGGGTTATAAAACAGCTCGTACTGAGATCCCACACAGATTATGTATGGAAAAACCCCCAGAACAGTCGTCGGCTGTGGGTGGTGGGGTAACAGGTGACTTCCTTCTTTATACTTCTTTTCCAAATTTCCTCCAGTGAACATGTATTGCTTATATAAGGCAATATTTTTGCCCTGCTGAGGGTCAAACTCAGGGCTTTGCACATGCTAGATAAGTGCTCTACCACTGGGCTACATCCCCAGCCCTCTCTATGTGGCTGAGGACAAGTGAACTTTTGATCCTCCTGCCTCCACTGACCAGTGGCTGGGATTATGGATGTGGGCAAGCACACCCTGCTTTTGAAGTGCAGTGTTTAGGAGTCAACAAAGGGCTTTGGACTAGTTCGTGCTCTGCTGACTGAACTACAGCCCCAGCCCTGCCCCAGTTAATTGGGAATATTTCTTTTTTACTTCTCCTATTTTTAAGAATTTAATGTGTCACAGTTGGTGGGAGTGCTTTAAAACAGCGGCAGGAAGGAATCCACTGCCATCCTCCCCTGATGGGGAAACTGAGGCTCTAGGTCAAGTGGGGCTCAGTGAAGTCTAGTCATGGGCTTACTTCCCCTGCTTCTCAACTTTTAGGGCTTTCAGGACTGCTCAGGGGTGGGTCCTGCTACTCCCAATAGTAACTTAGAAGGCTGCAATTGCCCGCAGGACTCCTTACACTGCACTTATTCTGACCCAGCCTGCTACTTAACAAGCCTCTCAGCTGCCTGAGGCAGCTACACACAGTACTCATAAGGGTTCAGGTTAAATCTTTCTTCCACTAGCAAAAAGGGAAGCCCACCCTATGAGTGGGTGACAGCCTAAGAAGCAAGGCTTTTTACCAGTAGGCTGGGACCCACGTCTGAGTCAGGCAACTTCTAGCCTCACTTTCCCACCGTCCTCTGCTTTGCTGAGGACACAGAGCAAGGGCTTTGGCTGGGGTTCAGATGTCATGACTTCCACACCTTGTCAGATACTGTCCCCTCTTAAAAGCTCAACAGTAGCTGGGTGTGGTGGTACACACGCTTAGCCACAGCACTAGGGAGGCAGAGGTGGCAGGTGGATCTGAGTTTGAGGCCAGCCTGGTCTATAGAGCCAGTTCCAGGCCAGCCAGGGCTCTAAGTGCTGATGGCTTATGGTCAGTTCCCTGATAGCCACAAAGCTTTGGTTCTTAGCTTGGCTAGGTGGTAAGATTGACATTTAAGCAGCCACCTTGGGATGTGAGTACAAGGCCACCCTGAACATGGCAGGCAGGGCTGCTGGGTTAGTACCACCTAGTCACTAGGTCCTTTTGGAAATTTGTGTGGTGCCTAAATCACTCCTAGGAAAGAGATCACCTGGGACTGTGGTCCAACGCTCCTACAGCAGCTCCACTGCAGAGCAGGCCAGCCTGTGGGTCATTGGGGTTGGAATGCGGGTGGAATGAAGGCCAACCTGGCTCTGGGTGGCCCCGAGGCCTAGCCACACTTAGATGACTCACCAGGTTGGTCTGACGGTGTCAGGCTGTTTGGTGGCTTTGTGTCTAATTCACGCTGGGCTCCATTTTGCATATTCTACCATGCCTATACCAGCAAACGTGGACCAGCTCCCGTGAACTCTGGTCCTGGCTCACTGTTCTCTTTAGCCTGTGTCCTTGGTCACTTCTTCATGCTGGTGCTGACAAGCAGTGTGTTCACCATGCCAAGGTTCTTCCAAAACAAAGTCCATTCCATTGAATGCAAAGTCTAGTTCTCAAAAACGCCTCTGACCAGTCACCAGCCCTGTGCATACGGAGGGGCCTCGGATGGACCAGATGTTCAGACATAATAGCTGTTCATCCCATCCAGACCTGGAGTTGTGAAGTCTGGCCTGACAGGGCCCACCTGCCTGAGCCAGAGGCCTCACCTCTTCCTTTGTCCTGGACGCAGAAAGGAGGGACCAGGCGCTGCCTTTCTCTGGCCTCTAGTCAAGGATGACATGACTTCGCTTCTTCAGCAGAGTCCCCGTGCTTCAGTTCATTAGCGACATTCCATTTGTAATGCAACCCTGCAAAATGTGTGGTGCACTTACTGCCACCAGGACAAAAGGATGTGTGGTACGGCTGCTCGGGGTGATAGGGTAGATTCCCTAGGACTCACAGGACGGGGGAGTGGCAGGCCCAGACCCAGAATGCCCAGGGTGGTCTGCAATGGGGCCTCCTGAGGTTGGAAAGGCCGCTCTGGGGCTCCTCTACCCAGGACTTCTGGTACTGTGCCAATGAAAATGACTATCTGCTACTTCCATGACTGCTTTGAGAATGTGTCTGCACGGCCCACGCCTGCTGGCAGCTCCCTTGAGGAGGCAAGCCAGTGCAGATCTTGCTCCAGAAGGCATGGCAGAGTCAGGCCTTTCTTCTGGATCCCCGGGGCCTGTCATCCCTACAGTGGGGTCTGTCTTGGTCTGGGAGCGGCACACATATTCCCCAAGGAGCTAGGTCACTCCCTGGTCAAGTACTAAGGACAGGGTACCCTAAGAAAAGTGCACTCTCAGACGTACCTTACTGGGGACTTGCTGGTGTCATGGCCCCACACAGCAGGAGTAGGGGGTGAGCTGGGCTCTGTGTCCCCTTCCTTCCCACCTACTGCCCCTCCCTCCTCCACTGCAGACTCCCTGTGCCTGTCACCTTCCCTGCCTTTGTCCCACTGGTGCTATCCCTTGGCCTCCTACATGAGCCAGTCTGTCCCTCTCTGCCTGGACACTGAGCGTCTCAACAATATGGGAGTCTGTATCTTGTCCCTCGAGGATCAACACAGGTCCTCCAGAGTAGCCCCCTCTCTTAGCCACCCCCCAAAATCAACAAAGAGATATACTATGTATGTGACTGGCAAAGGGCCCAGAGAAGTTAACCAACAGAAGCAAAATCTCCATTGTTTTCACTTCTGATTTTAACTTACCCTTCACTACTTGAGTCTTGTTTACTTAAAGCTCTTGAGACAGAAGAGTCTCAGGTAGTTCAGGAAGTAGATGTCTACTGGGAAGAGCAGGAGCTGTCCGGCTTCCTGAGTCCCTGGACAATGCTGAGGGTCTGGCGCTAAAGGTGACAGGAGCTGGAGAAGATCTCAGGATGGGTTGATGGCTCATCCCTCAGACAGCCAGATGTGGCTAGAGCAGGATTATGTACAAGGCCAGTCAGGGCAAGAGCCACAGTAGTACTTGCTTCTCATTTACTTACATCTATCATGTATGTATGTATGTTTGTATGTATGTATATATGTGCACTGTTGTTTTGTCATGGGTGTTGGGTCCCTGGAACTGGAGTCACAGACAGTCATGAGCTGCCATGTGGGTGCTGGGAATTGAACCTGGGTACTCTGGAAGAGCAGTCAGTGTGCTTAACTACTGAGCCATCTCTCCAGCCCCCTTGTTTCTTTTTAAAATATATTTTATGTGTGTCTGTGTACCATCTGTGCAAGTGCTCGCAGAGGCCAGAAGGCGGCCCTGGACTGCTTGGATGGAGATATAGTTGAGGCTGCCTGATGTGAGTGCTAGGAACTCGGGTCCCCTGAAGCAGCAGCAAATGCTCTTAACAGCTGAGCAATCTTTCCAGCATTATTTGTTCCTCATTGAGACCCCCCCCCAAAGCCCCCAACTTATCAACAACCAGGAGTCACAAAATGAGTACCCAGGGTTCTAGGAAAATAAGTAAGGAGCTCTGGGTTTGCAATGTCAGCTTAACCACAGCTGACATTAAGACGGCCCACAGCCAACCACAGTCAGTGCCCGGGGGAAAACAACACCCCAGTGTGGCATGTTTCCTTGGCCATAGATTGTTGGGGTCTAGTCCACAGCTCAAGTTTAGCCCTTGGGACAGATCAGGCTTTCCCATGGAAGAGGATCATAGCCTGGGATGTGAAGAAGTACTGGCTCCTTCATGCTGCCCAAGGTCCAGGCTTACCACTTTTTAAAGATTAAGATCCAAATGGTAGCTGGGAGGTGGTGGTGCACGCCTTTAATCTCAGTACTTAGGAGGCAGAGGCAGGCGAATTTCTGAGTTCCAGGCCAGCCTGGTTGGTCTACAGTGTGGGATCCAGGACAGCCAGAGCTACACAGAGAAACTCTGTCCCAAACACCACTTCCTCACCTAAAGAAAGAAATCCAAATGGTACAAGACACCTGAGATGGATGATAAAAAGTAGGTGGCCTAGATGTGGTTGCTCACACCTTAATTCCAGTATTTAGGAAGACTGAATTAAGTTTGGGACTAGACAATGCTACATGGTGAGTTCCAGCACAGCACTGGCTACAAATCTGTCTCAAAATACAAACAAAAGTATACAACCCCCAGGGTTGGGCATGGTGGTGCACCTTTATCCCAGTACTTGGGAAGCAGAGGCAGGAGATCTCTGAGTTTCAGGCCAGTCAGCCACCCAAGGCTACATAGAGAAACCCTATCTCAAAGAATAAAACAACAATAACAACAAAAACCCAGAATGTCAAATGAGGTAGAAAACTAAGTAACATTCTTACCTAGCTCTGAACCATGAGCTACAATAATGACCCGCGTGGCAAGGTATGCCCACGTGTGCACCAGTGGCCCATGTTATGGGGGTGACACATTAAAATATTTTAAACATAAGCTGGGTATTGTGGTGTACACCTTCAATCCTACAGGAGGCAGAGGCAGGAAGATCTCTTTCAAGTGTGAAGCAGGCCTGTTCAACATAGCAAAACTGTCTCACAATAAAAAGGAAATGGTAACAGCAAAATCACCAAATGACCTTGGTGGAGGTCAAAGAGACAATGCCATCCAGTACCCTGGCTGTACTCCCAGCCCCAGCTCTGAGTCTCCACCTATTCTGTCCCCCAGGAAGGGCTCCAATGGCTGCACGTCAATAGATCAGATGAGTTAACTGACCCCACAGCTGCTGCTTGTCGAGAGGAGCAGCCATGGGGGTGGAGCACTGAGCCACTAAGACTCTCCTGCCCTTTTGAGACATCTAAAATGTCTTTACCACGTCTGCACACTCCCATTCTGCACTTCCGGCTGGCACTATTCTAGGTACTTGGGATGCAGGAGATGGAAGTTTCTCTACCCTATACAAGCCTGAAATTGTGGAGGTGGGGTGGTGGTGCAGATGGCCCAGACTTGGTAGATTAAAGTCCACAGTGTGAGGGAACAATCCTGGGAGGAGCACTCTGAGGAGCACCAACAGCCTCCCTCCCACTTGCCTGCACTCATGTGCTAGGCTCACTACCTCTCCCCTGACCCCTCTGAAGGATCTCACTATGAAGTCCCACTGTCCTGAAAGTTGCTTTGAAGATCAGAGATTTTCCTGCATCATCTCCCCCAACCCAACCCAACACACACACACTACACTCACTCTCTCTCTCTCTCTCTCTCTCTCTCTCTCTCTCTCTCTCTCTCTCTCTCTCACACACACACACACACACACACACACACACACACACACACACACACACACAAAATACAATGTTTGCCAGGCAGTGGTGGCGCACACCTTTAATCCCAGCACTGGAGAGGCAGAGGCAGGTGGGTCTGAGTGAGAGGTCAGCCTGGTCTACAGAGTGAGTTCCAGGACAGCCAAGGCTATAAAGAGAGAGTTTGGGGTGGGGGATGCTAAAGAATACAGTGTTTTTCCAGACATGGTGGTACACTCTCTAACAAGAGCTCAAGATCAGCCCAGGTTACATGAGACACTCTCTGAAAGGAAAAAAAATCAAAGGAGTTTACACACCAGACTGTCAGATCTACCAAGGCGCAAACACCAATCTAGGCCACTCTGTCTAGTCACTATTACCCAGCCAGCCAGCCACCCTCTTTGTGGCCTGGACAAGGTCCTATTCTCAACAGCTGACTTGAAGAGCAGTACTGTCAGCAGTAGGATTCCTGAACTGGTGTACTTAGACGACTTACTAAGGCACTGACCATCGGAGGACTGAGAGTACAAACATGCACCACCCCACCTGGCTCTAACTCATTTTCCGCAAAAGTGCTGACCTCCCGGTAAAATGCATTTTGAAACGGTCCTGCTTCAGAATGGTACTCGCTCTCCCTGGGCCTTCTCACACCTGAGCTCCTCTCCTACATCAACCAGAGGGGAGAAACTTGGCACCTTCGCATGAACTGGTTGTGTGCTTCCCTGCAAAGTACTTTTTAAATTCATACCCCCCCCCCCCCCCCCCCCCCCCCCCCCGCACCATGTTAAACTAAAACAGAATCTCATGTAGCTTAAGCTGCCCTTGAATTCCTGACACTTGCCTCCAACTCCAAGTGCTGGGATTACATGTGTGTTCCACCACAGTGAGCTAATGATCCGAGTGGTGCCCTACATGCTGGCCTCAGACTTCTGCAGTGGGCCAGCATTTCCAGAGACGAAAGAGGTCCTAGGAGCCTGGCACATGTTCCTATGGTAGGAAAGTTAGCTTATTAACCCTGTTCTCAGGACTACACCGCCTCCCAGGCTCCCTAACTAACTTGAGATACTCCCAGGAAATAGACAAGAAAAAAAAAGTATGTGGCACTGTCTAGGTCTGTGAAACAACTTTTAATATTAGTGCTTTATTTTGGACTTTGAAGAAAGGATACAGTCTCCATTTGTGATGTTAGAGTTTCTGTGTTTTGACCTAAAATGTTGCCACTAAAATCAACATCAATTTTAGTAAGGCTTCTTGTTGGGCAGTGGTACTGCACCTTTGATTCCTTCACGAGAGGCAGAGGCAGGAGGATCTAAACAAGGCCAGCCTGGTCTACGGAGTGAATTCCAGGACAGGCAGGGCTACACAGAGAAAACCTATTTAAAAAAACAAAAAAATAAAGAAACAGATTAGTAAGCCTTCAAAATACAACCAGTTCAGGAATACAGTGACTGTTGGTCCTTTAGAGACAGTTATTCATTTGATCCATAACATTAAAATGCAGCCAAACAGCAACAGAACACAGCCCAGCAGAGTGCCTGCATTCACACAGAAGGTGCTGTTCTCCTCAGGGCACATGGCAGACCTCTAGCACTCCACAGGCGTTGAGAATACAGCCATGGAAAAGCAGTTCACACGAGCCATCTCCTTTTCCGTTGCTTCAGTTCTGGCTGGCTTCTAGGTAGAGCAGGCTGGCCTCAGTTTGCAGAGATCTACCCGCCTCTGCCTCCTGAGTGCCGAGATGAAAGTTGTGTGCCACCACACAAGCATGAGCCCTATTTGACAGGGCAGGTACTGTGTGGGGGCCATGCCCTGATTGGGTTTCTAGGGCAGGGTTCTTCGAGATAGGGTCTCCCTAGGTAGTCCTGGCTGTCAAGGACTTTGCTATCAGAGACCAGCCTATTTTGGTCCCAAGTGCTTTGATGGAAGGCATGTCATCATACCCAGTTTAGGGAAGATTCATGGAGTAACAGCTGGTCAAGACCCTTAAAGAACAACTCAGAAGCTCTGCCTGGAGGAGGGAAGTGCGGTTTATAAAGATACAGTGGCCAAGAGCACCAGTGTGCACAGTCTGCACATGTAGCTCAAGAACCCCCCCCTCCCGTGTACCTGGACGGCAGCCATTCTGTCTTGGTGGGCCCTGGGATCCTTTACGTTTTAAAGGGACATGAACACAGCTGGCGGCACCTCGAGAGGCTGGCAGTCTCGAGAGGCCCTGAATCCAGGGTGAGCGGTTCCCCTGCAGTCACAGCAGACTTGCTGCCAGGGGCCTTCCCTACTCTACTGCTGCCTGCCTGGCCACTTCTCCTGACCTCTCAACACCGTCAGGATGGCCTTTCGGCTCTACTCAGTTTTTGTCCTCGTCCACCTCCTGAAGGTCCCTGGGTCCCTCCAACCTCACTGAGTCACCTGCTTCCTTCCAACCTGCTCCCCCGGCATTCTTCCTCCCCCGAGCTTCCTGCATTTCAGTTCACAGCGGCCTCCACTGCACAGACCAGAAACTGTCATCTCTGCCTTTCCGTTCTCACCCCAGATCAATCAAGCTGCCTTACTCAGTGTTCCCAGAGTCCATCAAGAGCCCCCCTACAAGTTGGCCATACTGTCTGAAGGCCTCTGCTGGGCTTTCTTGTCTTCCCGCTCTCTCCCCTTCCGATGGATTCCAAAAACAGCTCTCAGAGATGGCTGACAACCCAAGCAGGCTGGCTGGGAACCCGCAGCTCTCAGGGAAAGCAGCTACCTCAAGGCCGAGTGGCCGTCCTCATCACATCTCCACTCTTTTGCAGGCCTTGGGAACCTGTGTCCTCTGGAGCTCCTAAGCTGCTCTGCAATGTACTTCACCTTATTTCTCACCATATCCCATTCCAAGTCCTCACTTCTTTTTAACAGATAGTCACATGTAAATGTGTGTATGTGTATGTGTGTAATATGCATGTGAGTGTAAGTGCCCCAGAAGACCCTAAGTGCTAGTTTCACTATCAGTCAGCTACTAGATATGGATGCTGGAAATTAAACCCTGGATCTCATCAAACGTAGTATGTGCTCCTAACCGCTCAGCAATTGCTCCAGCTCCTAAGTTCCCACTTCGTGTTTGTTGACTGACTGGTGGAATGTTGTAAGGAGACAGGGATGCTTAACCATGATGTCTTGTACAAGAGTGCCTTGACCACAGCAGACAAGACAAGAAACAGCCATGACTTAATCTGCCTTAATCACAGGGAGAGAGAGGAATATCGGGTACCGCATGGAAAAAGCCCACTCAGTGATGGCAAGGGCCTGGTGTTTCATTATGGGAGTGCATGGTCCCCAAGGACTAAGCAGCTACCACCCCCTCCTAGCGACCAGGAGGGCTGGCAGAAAGGATGCTCCTCAGCTAAAATGCTGGGGTCTATGCAGAGTACTCAACACTCTGCTTCCCACATGTCCTCTGCCTTTATTCAACCCGATGGTGGAGGCAAGCAGCATGCCTCAGGACTACCTTAGACTGAGGCTTCAACACAGCATTAGGAGACAGTGCAAGAGTTTACTGAGAAAAAGTGAATTTTTAATTATCTTGTGAATCTACTTAGAAAAACACACACAAGCAATGTTCACAACTATAAATTTAAACCTTTTGCACTAAAAAACAAAACAAAACCCAAAAAAACACAAACAAACACAAAACCACAGGCATGAACTGTAAACCTGTATTAATTATCAACTAGTCTTAAGGTTAATTCTTAGCAGTAATTCAGTATTTTCCTTCTTGGCAATTGTAATGTTTTAGCACCAAATGATCTCCCACAGAGGTACTAGTAATGCTGGCTGCCAGTGTAAGGAGATGTTTCCAATGCAGTGCTTCCCACACACACCGTCCACTCACACCACACACAGGAGTCACGGGCAGATGGTGCGACACTCTGACTCCAAGGGCAATGGACACAAGACAGAGGCACGGGGTCACAGACTTTAATGTAGTGCATTCGTAGAAAAGGCCAGCCTCCGCTCCCAGGCGCGCTCTCGTCCTCAGACTTTAATGTCATGATTTAGAAGATGCAGACGTTATTGCCTAAATATTACTCTATACATTTCCATCAGTGTTCTGGAAAACACCTTAAATTGCTACTTAATTTACACCATAATTACTGGGTTACAGCTTTAGCTCATTGGCAATTTTGGAAGCAATATTTTTGAAAGCTATGGATGTCCCTGATATCCGTTTAAATCGGACCCCATTCAGAGACAGTCTTGGCAGCTTACAGACTTCCATTTCCCACTGCACCAGGTTCTCCGCGTGCCCGTCGCCATGGACACAGAAGAGCAGGAAGCGCTCCCTCTGCTCATAGTCGCAGTTATTGGCGTCCAGCACTTTGCGGATCTCCCGCATCATATCACTGGGGTCCATGGAACTAGTGGTTTTCATGCTCCAGGTGAAGCGCAGTGAACGAGGTTTTGCCTCTTTGTTTTCATCCTTTTGTTCCGAAGATACATTGCGACTGAAATGCACAGGGGCAGGGTGATTTTTAATTGCACTGGAAAAAGACTCTTTTCCACCTTAGCTAACTGATTATCAACTCCTTCAGCACATATGAAAACTGAACCCAAGTACCTCACAATTACTGAGGTAATTACTTATATCCCCAATCTCTAAAGGTAAATACTGCACACAAAAGTCTGCCTGGCTGGAAACTGTCCAGGAGCCACCTGCACTGGACATCCTTTGAAATATCAGGCAGAGCAGGGCCAGAGCCCACTACTGCACAGAGGTGAGTGCTGACAGCAACCTCCTGCTTGTTCACCCACAGCTTGTTAGTGCAGTTATGCTTGTCACATGTACACAAACATCAGTGCTCCAAGGCTGACTCAGTATCCCAGTTTCGTACACGGTTCCTCAGCTAGCTGCTGAGTGCACACCTAGGCCAGCCCTTCTGTCCTCAGCATCTC